TGGTCTGGCGGACCAGGACTGGTCAGCCCCGGACCAGACGGCTCTTTCCCCTTTGGTCCGTTCCTTCTCGGTCAGCCGGTGTCCTTTACTCCGACACGTCTGGTCCGGCGGACCAGGACTGGTCAGCCCGGAACCAGACGTGTTATTCTCTCGGTCCGCCGTGCTTTCCCTGGTCTGGCTGACTACGCGTGTATTGTTCCAGTCTCGGTCCGGAGCTGACCACGGTGTGGTCCGGCGGACCGGGACTGGAACTCTCTTCTTGCTCGCCGTGTGCCGGCGGACCGGGACTGGGAGTTAACTTCTTCTTCGCCATTTCCGAATTCTGTTTCGCGTTTTCTCACACGTTTCGATTCGGGGTTACCCCCAAATGCTATTAAAACATAGTTTTACATCCCTAGACATGTTCTAAACCTCAAACACGCAATGAAATCTCGATTTGGACCATCACACATTGAAAATGAGTTCTCACAAATCCAACTCAAGCCACTCACCTTGTTCTTGAGTTTGTCCGAGCTTGTGTGCGTTCCTCGTGGCTCCACACGACGTGAGAAACTTAGGGACACGTCTGGGCACGTCCCTCTTGGTCTCCCCGAGCTCCCCTTGCACTGGTTCGTCCCCTTTCTCTCCCTTTCTCCCCTTTTTCTTCTTCCTCTGTTTCTGTCCGAAAATGCCTAAGTCCCAGCTTGGGAGATGTTTATGATGCAAGATAGGGAGTTCGTGGGATCAAGCCGAAGCCCATAGGCGAGCCTGCAACGTCCTCGAGGCGTGGGAGGCGGCTGGACGGCAAGCGGGCCCCAGAATCCGGCGAATTCCGCGTCCCAAGGTGGCAAGTTGACAAGTTGCGGAATCTGTTATTCCCGGTCTGCCGGACCAACTTCCTGGTCCGCCGAACCGGGGTCAGTTTATTTTTTTTTTTGAAATTCTTCTCCCAGTCCGCACGTCTGTTCCCACTCTGACTGAGCGGTTGGTCCGCCGGACTAGCCCCTTTTTTTTTTCTTTTTTCCTTTTCTTCATTCTTTCTCGGTACTTTCCGCACGTGACAATTCTCGTGCCTCTCCCCGACATTGTACCATCACCTTTGGTGATTTCGTGATATCTATATTTCATTATTCATTTTTAAATAATTAAATATTCGAATCGGGTTTCGAGGTATTACAGGCGTGGAGGCGCTTCTAGTCATGGACTTGACTAGGGTATATGGCTGGACCCTATGGTGGACTTCATACGGTTATGTTTGTATTCCGTTGTGTCATGGACTTGACATCCGTGGTCACGAGACGTGACAAGCGTGCGATTGTGTACGTGCAGTTGCACACGATGCGACGACCAACGTCACGCGAGTGACGGACGTGTGATGCGCTCCTAGTCATGCCGACTTGACTAGGGTTTATGGCTAACCCTATGGTGGACTCCATACGGGTGTGATTATGATTGATGTGATATAAATACGTGTTGCTATTACTTGTCTATTTCTTGTATGTCATTGTTTTATCACTGTTCTCGCTGGGAACGGGATGATCGGGATCAACCCGGACTACTCACTAAGCAGTTGTGCTTAGCCCTCATTGATTAACCTTTTTCAGGTAACGAGGAGCATGAGTAGCAATTGGATAGCGACTGAAGAGGAGGCAGCATCACGTACGGATATTTTCTATTGTATGTTTTGAACTATGGAATACGGTTTTCACATTTGGATGGTTGTACTATTTTTAAGATCGGACGTGTGGTATTAAAAGTTGTATTAAATTATTCCGCTGTGTATTTATGAATGAAAAGTTTTTTTTAAAATTCCCGTATTTAGGTTTTATATTATTTTATTAGTTTGTGTCCATGTGGTGCACCTCGTATACGGGATACAGGATTCAGGTGTCACAACAAGTCGCAGGACAGAGTCCGTCAAATCGTCTCTACGTATCCCATGCGTAGGTAATATATTCCCATGTGCATACCACAATCGCCTCTCTCCTCGGAATTCATCTATTCCATAGTCACTTGGATCCGACATAATTATATTTTTCTCCGCTCGAACACATCATCCCACCCTAGCATCGATGTCACCTCTCAATATTAGGCGTGTCACCTTGCTCCGGTATTGATGTCACCTCTCAATACTGGAGTTCAGCAGACGTCGGATTCAACCGACGCCATCCACTATAACGGGAGAGTCAATCGATGTAACTCCCCCTCGCCGACCATCCACTGCGGAAATACTTGTCAGGTTCGTGCCTGATCCTGGTAGCGTAAGTCCGTACAACCTCCTCGAGAGACCTCAATCTACCCGAATCTCAGATATGTGTAATGCCTCATCCTCGGGATAATCATATCCCGGAATTCGCACTGTCGCTAGCAGAAACGTTGGCGCGGTTACCAAGAACCGTATTTTCCTCGTCACGCAATAGTACCAACTACAATCGGCTATCTACGCAAGTTATCGGGATGCCCATAACCGTCCTATCATTCAGACGTTGGCGCGATTATATCATCGCTACATTAACGTCATGACAGCTATCCCAGTCACACGCATTTATATAGTTTATTTACTATACATGCATTTCCACTTGTGTAGTCTTTTAATTATCCTTATAACCATCTATATAATTATTTTCCGTTTATCAAGTTAAATTACCGAGTTGTACCTCCAGTTTGATCTACCTGATCCCGGTCCGTCCGAAAACCAGTTCGGTTCATTCCGTGGTTTTTAGGCCTACATGTTTATCCATTTTGGGTTCAATCTACATGGGGTCCGATCCGACCCATATTTTCGGTTTATTTATTTTTATTTATTTTTTATATTTTCCTATTTTTCATTAAACTATCTGTTACTGAGCCTGACTAGTCTAATTTTGCTCTCCCTGACCCGGTGTATTTTCAGCGTTCCATTACTATTTTTTTCCGGGTCGGTTTGATCTCAGACCGATTGGACTAATTTTCGTCCAGACCGATCGGTCTAGACTCTAGACCGATCGGTCTAGGCACCATTTTAGGTCTCGGTCTAATTTTGATCTAGACCGGTCGGTCTAAACTATAGACTGATCGGTCTACGCTTCGGTTTTGGTCTCGTTCTGATTTCAATCCAGACCGGTCGATCTAGCCTCTGGATCGGTCAGTCTGGATGTCGTCTTCAACCTCAGAATTCTGCGATTTCTTCTGCAGACCTAGATCGGTCAGTCTAACCCTTAGACGGTCGGTCTACATTTCAGATTTTCCCGAAAATCACACAAACAAGCTCGATTTGGTATGGGTATTTCACCAAAATTCATAGAATTGCATGTAGAACAAGAATCAAGCAACAATTTCACACAAATCACACAAAAACCCAAACCCCGTGTCAACAGACTTCCGAATTAAACTCAAATTCACTCACCTTAGGTTAAACTCGTGTTCTGGGTGTTGAATGGAAAGCTTAGTGATGCTCCTCGTGCTCTGTACGAACCAATTCGAGCGTGAATCCTTCAGATTTGAGAGACAATTTCGGATTTGAAGTTGAAGAGGATGAAGAGAGAGGATGGATTAATAGAAGCTCAGATTAAGACTGATTTATGGTTAAAATCTGGACCTAGAGTGAGATAATTGAGTCTTAGGGTTCATAGGGTCGGAAAATTAGTTTTCTAGTCGGATATTCGTGCGTACCGGTCGTTTTCATGTCAAATCTAGAAAAGAAATCGTGGTCGTTGTGCTTATTTGTTCTTGCCGACAGTCTGAACCGGTCGGTCTAGGCTCTGGACCATTCGGTCTAGACAATTTTTTTTTTTGAAATCTTGGGTTGTTACATAGAATATTTGAAAGATGAAATCTTTTTACATCTAATTATACAAAATGAGTACTAAAACGATTCAATATGGATAAAGCAAATCCACTAAGTACTCCGATGGTTAATAGAACATTGGACATTGAAAAGGATAGATTTCGTCCTCGAGAAGATAATGAAGAGATACTTGGTCCTGAAGTACCGTATCTAAGTGCAATATGAGGTCTTATGTATCTTGCAAATTGTACTAGACCAGATATATCATTTGCTATCAATCTATTAGCAAGATACAGTTCTGCCCCAACACGAAGATATTGGAATGGGGTTAAACATATATTTCGTTATCTTCAAGGAACTATTGATCTTGGGTTGTTTTACCCTAAAAATACAAAGCAAGAAATTATTGGTTTTGCAGATGCATGTTATTTATCAGACCCATATAAAGACAGGTCACAAACAGGCTACGTCTTCACAATAAATGGAACTGCGTTAGCCTGACATTCTCAAAAGCAGACTCTAGTTGCTACATCAACTAATCATGCCGAGGTCATCGCATTACATGAAACGAGCCAAGAATCAGTATGGTTGAAATCATTATCTCAATATATTCAAAAGGTCAGTAGAGTACCTATCGAGACGATGCCAACAATATTATTTGAAAATAATGTTGTGTGCTCATCAAAAGTGATAGAACAAAATATATCCCTCCGAAATTCTTCACATATACCTAGGAGCTTGAAAGGAATAAAGAGATTGAAGTCAGATATATACGATCATGTGACAATGTAGCAGATCTGTTCACCAAAGCCCTTCCGACAATGGTGTTCAAGAAACATATACATAATATTAGGATGCATCATTTACGATACCTTTGATATCTTGTTCAGGGGGAGCGTGTAAGTGTACTCTTTTTTTATCAGGTTTTATTCCATTGGGTTTTACTGATAAGGTTTTTAACGAGGTATCGCCAAAATACGCAATCATACTTTACTAACGGTGGCTTCAAAGAGACCGTTATAAAAAATACATTGTTCTCCATTCTCCTAAAATATAATTTTCGGTTATAGTTAATGATCCAATATCCGGATCATTAATATTTCTTCTTATTTCATTGCATCTAGAAATTACTGTAATCTCAAAAAACTTATTTGGTGACGTGGTGAGAGTATTTACACGTGGCGTATTAATATTGGTCCAACCACGTCCTGCTATACACTGAGAATTGGGTCCATTATTTTTTTGATGAGACAAAAAAAAAGGAAAAATCTTTCCCCTTTGTCCACGGTCAAACGCATTACGCTTTCCCCAGAAAATCATCGATCTCTTCAAATCGTTAAATTTGCCGAGCAAATCGTACGGCAACCAAACATGGGTTTCATCGGAGAAACTGTAGATTCCATCAAATCGACTCCGATCAGACAAACACTCTCCCAGTTCGTCACTTTGGGTTTGATTCTCTCTCTGTCTCTGTTCTTACACGGAGATGCGTTTTTGTTTCTGTTATTTTTCTCATTTTGAGGTTACCCTTTTCTTGTTCTGTAAAAATTGTGATGAAGTTTAGATATTTGGATTGACCCATCTGTATTTTGCTCCGTATAGTATCCGATTTCATATTACTTCTCTGCTTCCTGAGTTTTCTTCAGAAGCAATTAGATTGATTAAGGGAATAGAAATGGGTCAATGGCTCATGTGGGGATGTGAAAATACCTTATATTTGGAATCAAATATGATTCAATAATTGTGGATCTTCTCGGAAATAGAGAGCAGTTGCAATGTGAATTTCAATGGGTGGACATCGCTTTGTATGATACTGATGAAAGCGATTTCAAACAGTAGAACATGTTTTAGTGTCAGAATGCTAGTTCTTAAATGAAGGTGTATACATATATATATATATACAGTGTATTTCCTTACCATAGATTAACAGGTGTGTGTGCTCCACAGGCATGATCGTTTCGTCAGCGTTGATTATATGGAAGGCACTGATGTGTATCACTGGAACAGAGTCACCTGTTGTTGTTGTGCTTTCTGGTAGCATGGAGCCTGGATTTCAAAGAGTCAGTCAAATTTCAATTGACCGTTGTTTGCATTCTTTGTGTATATAATTTCCGTTTGTTTTTACATTTTGTGATAAGAGTTTGGTTGATCTTGAAGGGCGACATTTTGTTCCTGCATATGAGCAAGGATCCTATCCGTACCGGGGAAATCGTCGTGTTTAACATCAATGTGAGTTTGGTTTCCTTACATTGAATGTCATGGAAGTCTGTTGTTTAGTTCTATGCTTATGACACAGAGCTACATTAGCTATCAGTTTCCCTAAAGAACAGATGATTCATAGTTGAAGGTCCAATTACTCCTTGAGGTTTTGTTTTTTGTTTCATCGCCAGGAAGCTTTTCCCGATCTGTCTCCTTTCAAGAATCTCGCTTTTCCACTTGGGTTTTCAATTTTTTTTTTACGGTGCTGGTTTAATAAGTTTGCTGATTCACTTCAATGCCATTGTCCAGGGACGTGATATTCCCATTGTTCATCGTGTTATCGAGGTATGTGTATGACATGCTCCCTGAGTTAAACTATTTGATCGTATTACTCGTTCATACGATCTTTCATGCGATAATCTGGGCTCATATAATTTCTGACATGCTCTTCTGGCAGGTTCACGAGCGTAGAGATACCGGGGAAGCTGATATCCTGACGAAAGGTAAGTAACTCTTCACCGATCATTGAGAAACCGAGTGAGATCATATACAAAATGCAAAACAAAAAAAAACATTCTGATTTTGTTGCCTGAAATGGCTTCAGGGGACAACAACGATATGGACGACAGGGCCTTGTATGCCTATGGCCAGCATTGGTTGCAGCGGAAGCATATCATGGGCAGAGCCGTCGGGTAAAAACCCTTTACAAATCCGAGTTTCCTCATCACGGAATATGACACCTTAATCTTGTGTACCGCTCTTGTTTGTAGGTTCTTGCCTTACGTCGGTTGGGTCACCATCATCATGACCGAGAAACCGATCCTAAAGGTTCGATTTTCAGAAAACCCGAAACCCTTAACAGTCAGCTTCTTCTCCCTCGAAGCTAAGAACTTTGAGTTGATGATTCTTTTGCAGTACATTTTGATTGGCGCACTTGGGTTGCTAGTGATAACATCCAAGGATTAGAGACGAGAGGATTTCGGATTGGATTCGATTTCTTTTAGAGAAAAGCGACACAGAGACAAGGGTTCACTTGAACAGGTCGAGAGACCGCTCATGTAGACAGGACCAGAGTTATTTGAACTCCATGTTGTTTCATCACAGGACTAAATCCAGGTGCCTGCAAATTTTTTAACCAGTCAGTAGACGAAGTAAAAACGTCGAAAATTTCTCAGAAAGACATTTATTTTCGTAAAAGCAACTTATCAAAATTCAAAAATATGATTTTATATCGAAATTTGTGAAATATAATTTATAGAAAAAAATTTAACTTATAATAAAATTCAGACAGGTCTTGAATGGTTGTATTTTTAGGAGTTTTTAGAATCTATAAGCTAAAAAAAAATACCATTTATAAAATTACTTTTCCTAAAAATTTGAAAAGTCATTTTAATGGAAAAATCAATGAAAAACCAAAAGCTATTTTTTTTAGTTTTCAAATATTATAGAATCTAAAATCTAAAAACAAAAAAGTAAAAACCAAAATCCAAAAACTAAAACAAAAAACTCAAAATAAAAACCATCTCCATTCAAAGTTTTAGTTCTTATATTGCTTATTTTATTTTGGATACATTTTTGTTTTTCAATTTTTTTTCGTTCATTATTGACATGGTTTCACTAAAAGGGATGGAATATTCGGTATGCGGGTACTCGCTATATAATGAAGACGAAAACAAGTTTGATGAAGTCAAAAATCCGGATTGCAAGTTCGAGTTTTGTTTGAACGGCGATGAATACCAGATATAAATAAAATGGACTATATTTTAATGTGTTTACAAATAATACCTAAATATATTTTCAAGTTAAATTACCAAATACCTCTAAAGTTAACAAAGGTCAACGATTTCTTAAGATTTTGGCGGGTCAAATACCCTATTCATACTTTGTTTCTGTTCTAGCCACGTGCATATTCATCTACCTTTGCGTGTGAATGAATTTTGCTTAAAAGAGGCCGTAAAAGGATTTGGTTCCCTCAGAACCCTTTTCGGTAATTTTGTATTGAACTGCCGCTAAACATATCCTATATTTTTAACCCTAATCAGACGCGTATAGATCGACTTATACGTGTTAATATATTCGAAGAAAAAAATGAAAATAAAAAAAGAATAAGGAAACACAGAGCCGAAAAAAAAGGAAACTTAATCTAATGGATGATATTATTCAAACAAAAAACCCCAAAAGGAAAAGGAATGGAATATCTATATAAACCCGTCATGGGTCCTTCAAAGTTTCTCACTTTCAGCAACCCTTTCGATAGTTTTCGACTTTGACCTCTCGTTCTACGCATCAAAATGGCGATAACAAAGACCGCGATCATCAGTTTCTTCATGCTCGTGACCGTTTCTCTCTTCGTAGGATGCGTGGGAACAACGCACAAGATCGAGGGATGGGCACCGGGTGTCGACTATTACACATGGGTCACGTCAAGACACTTCCAAGTGGGTGACTCTCTCGTCTTCGAGTACAACAAGGATTTCCATGACGTGACAGAAGTTGCGAGTCCTTTAGCTTTCGAGTTCTGCGACCTCTCTTCCACCATAGCAAGATACAAAACCGGTTATGACGTGGTTAACCTCACACGTCCCGATCGTTACTACTTAGTCTGCGGAGCTCCTGGTCACTGTCACGCCGGACAGAGATTTGACATCCTAGTCACGTCTCCCCAAGTCGTGGAGAAGTCACCTTCTTCCTTCTCTCCTTCACCCTCCGTTCCTCTGCACAGCGCTGCCTCAAGCTTTCTATTTTCTCGGGTCGGCCTCGTCTTTCTTTTCTTGGTTCTGTTACCATGATTTCTTGTTTGATCGTTTTTTAGATTAGCCCACGAGACGTTTTTAGTTCCTTGTCCAAGATTTTGTCTCCTTTCTGTCCTTGGAAAGTGGTATTTTGTAATAAAGTTTGCAACTGGTGGTATTGTTTTTATGATATTATTGTGCACTAATTTTGTGGTGACCGAATTGGAAAATACAAGTTCATGTACTACCAATAAAAAAAGACATTTTTTTTGTTAACTGTATTCATATATTAAAACCGATGTACACAAAATGTCAGTAGATACAGAATCATCAAGCTCAAACACTAAAGCTTAAAGGGTTCTTATGAGAGAACATCGAAAAGACGAAACCACGGCGCTAGAAGACTTTCTGAGAGGGAATGGGAGTAGGAATATTGCAGTAGTGAGAGTTTGCATCGCACTATGCATAGGATCTCCTTAAGCAGAATATTAATCGGCTTTGGTTGCTCCCCATGCAACCTTGAGTTGCGCTCACGCCAGATGGAGTAAACGCAGGCTTGGAAGAGAAGTTTTAGAATGAATCGGCAATTAACCTGACCTTGGCATCGACCAATCCAATCGAGGTGACCGGAAAAGGCAATCAGTCCCCCAGGCAGAGCAAAGACAGAGCGCAAGACACACGCCCAGATTTGACCCGAGAATTGACAACGGAAAAAAAGGTGGTCCAAGGATTCACCATGTTCTTCACTTAACAAGCAGAAAGCAGAGACGTTCAAACCCCAAGCGAGGAGGCGGTCCCGCGTTGGCAATATGTTCTTCGCTGTCTACCAAACTAAGAACGAGTGTTTGGATATGGCACCAGTAAACCAAACAATCTTCGACCGGGTACAATCGGAAGGAGTAGCCGGTGTTGCTTCCACGCTTTCTGGTAGAGAACAATAGAGAAGCAGTGGGCGATAAGCATCAGACCAGTAAAAGGTCTCCTGACTGTTAGAAACGAGATAAGGATCAGTGGCACTTCGGTGTGGGTGAGTGAGCACTCAAATTCAACCAGAAACTTCTATTTCAGAAAACACAGAAACAGAGAACAAAGAAATTTGAGAAACTCAACTAATTTTATTCATCAGAAAACGATTACATATATAGGAAAGAAAACAAAAACTTAATAATAGAAATAAAATCAAATCAACCTCTAAATCTGCTAGCTAAATCAAATCAAATCAGAATATCCTAATCTTGCAAAGAAAAATAGGAAAGATATGATAGTGTCAGATTTTTACAGAATCTGGAAACTGATCCTCTTTAGCCTTGAATCACGCATTTGAACTAACAATTTGTCTCCACTCATGTGACGTGGCCTTGAATCACATTTGTTCCAACAATCTCCTCCTTGACGAAAGGCATCACACACACTTCGATCATGCTCCTTAACCACTCCAACCTTCCATCATGCAACCCCTTAATGAACAAAACTGCTTCTTGTTCTTCTTCTTGTTCTTCAATGCTTTTCACATCATCTGCAAAACCATCCCATTCACTATTTGAATATCGAATCAGATTTAACTCATCACATTTTGTAAGCTTGATCCAAAAAATCTCTCTTTTCTATCATCTTGAGCTCCTCCTTCATTGCATTTCTCCAACTCTTGTCGTTTCTTGCCTCCTCATAGCTAGATGGCTCAAGAATAGCCACATTGCATCTTCCATAAACTTTCTGCAGTGTTCTTGTACCTCTGACTGGAACATCATCATCAGATTCAACGTCTTCAACCTCCATAATCTCGTCAGCGTTCTGCACATGATTTTCAGTTTGCTCAGTTGTTAGTGGCCCTTCGGTTTGAGTGAATGGCTCTTCATCCTCACCGAAGTCTTGCCATTTCAATCCTTCAGACTCAACAAACTTGACATCCTTGCTTACTACTTCCTTGTTCGTCTCAGGCAAATGTACTTGATATGCCTTTGACATATCTTCTGCAGTTTTGCATCGAGCTTATCTTCCGATTCTTGACTCACAAATGCATCATATCCCACATTTTTCATCGAAAATGAGAACCTCTTCTTTCTCATAGGCATCCTAAATAGAACACACTCATTCTTGTCATAGATTACCTTGTAGCCCTTAATCACCAGCTGAGGTACACTTAGGAGATTCTGAAGTAGCCCTGGCACATACAACACTCCTGTCAGCAGTTTCTTCGTGCCATCCGACCCTTTGATCCAGACATCTCCCTTTCCCTCCACTAAAATGAACTCGCCATTTCCAATTCTGACTTTTGATTTGAACATCGTGTTAATCCACTTGAATGAGCTTCTATCTCTTGTCATGTGGTTAGTACAACCACTATCCCCTAACCATCCATCCTTGACAGATCCAGAACCAAAACACGATGCCACAAACAGATCTTCAACCTCTTCTTCAACTTCTCCAGAATCTTCTACAATGATCTGAGCATTCTCTTTTCTACAGAAACGCTCAATGTGCCCAGATTTACCACACCCTCGACACTTGATGTTGGGATTTCTCCAACATCTCCAATGAGGATGACCAATCTTTTGACAATGCTTACAAGGTTCAGAGAAGCCTTGATCAGCATCTTTCTCAGATTCAGAAAACGTTACCTTGCTATGAGTAGCATCCATCTTCGTTTTCTGATTCTGTTTCTCCTTTTCTGGCCACTTTGTTTTCGCCTTAGCCATCAACGCTCCCTCAACTGACTCCTCCTTTCTCATCAGCCTTCTTTGCTCTTGCGCTTGCAGAGCACTAAGAACTTCAGTAGTTTCAATTGTGACAACTCCTTAGTGTTCTCCAAGGAAGCAAGGGTGGCTTCAAAACGCTCTGGAACAGACACCATCACCTTCTGAACTATCTTCTCATCAGTCATTTCAGTGCCCAAGATCCTTATCTTGCTCACACTGTTGATCAAACGATCAACATAAACCTTTACTGTCTCGTTTGGCTTCATCTGCTGTCTCTCAAATTCCCGGAGCAGGTTTAAAACCTTCATGCCCCGTATCTTCTCATCTCCTTCATACTCTTCTTTCAGAGAATCCCACATCTCCTTCGCATTGGTCATGTTCATGATCTTAGTAAAGATAAATGATGGTACCGAGGCAAAGAGGCATGACATAGCCTTACCTTTCCTCGTTACCTTATCTCTATAGATCTTCATCTGGTTCAGCGTCGGATTTGCTCCTAAAGGAGTCACCCCGTAGTCTTCTTCGACAGTTTCCCACAGATCTGCACCCTTCATGTATGCCTTCATCTTCACAGCCCACATCTGATAGTTTTCTCCATCAAAAACTGGAGGAGAATTCGAATCCATCGTCAGCTTTGATAACCCTCAGATCCCTATAGAATCAACGGGCGCTGTGATACCACTGTTAGACCCGAGATAAGGATCAGTGGCACTTCGGTCTGGGTGAGTGAGCACTCAAATTCAACCAGAAACTTCTGTTTCAGAAAACACAGAAACAGAGAACAAAGAAATTTGAGAAACTCAACTAATTTTATTCATCAGAAAACGATTACATATATAGGAAAGAAAACAAAAACTTAATAATAGAAATAAAATCAAATCAATCTCTAAATCTGCTAGCTAAATCAAATCAAATCAGAATATCCTAATCTTGCAAAGAAAAATAGGAAAGATATGATAGTGCCAGATTTTTACAGAATCTGGAAACTGATCCTCTTTAGCCTTGAATCACGCATTTGAACTAACAATTTGTCTCCACTCATGTGACGTGGCCTTGAGTCACATTTGTTCCAACACTGACAATCAGAAGGGTTAGGAAGCGGGATGTCAAGTAACTCGCCATATACATGATCCACTGCGTCGCTTCTTGTCGGCGGAAGGCGCCACCCTAATGTTGAGGAGTACACATCAGCAACCTTCACATGACGCGGGATCCCAAGATGGCTCGGTCCCGAGTCACCCAGTGTAGCGATTAGAGGCCCCGATCGAGGGGAGTCAACGATCAAACCAAAAACTACAAATCTGCCCATTTCCAATCCTGCAATGCAAGAAGTTACGTGCTAGATGTCGGAGTTTGAGTAGCCTCCTCCAAGCCCAACTGCCTCTACTTTGTGTTCCCAATGACCAAAAAGACTTCGCTTGATAAGATTTGTATCTATTCAACGGATCTATAAACTTACCACATTATAGAAGGCTACGGCACCTACGTTTCTATTGTTAATAATTAGTAATTAGATACTAAATTTTAATCATTTTAATTTGTAACCCTAAAACTTATAAATGCTAAAAAATTTACAAAATTCTAACACCAATATTATTCTAATAGAATCTGATTATATTCGAAAACAATTAAAATCTCAAATAAAAATATTATTTGGGAATTTTTAAAAATGCCATCTATTTATACATGTTCACTCTTAAGTTTCGTTAAACTTAATAACTTGTTTAGTAGGTTGTAATTTGAATAGCAATGATAAAATATATGGTATTTTAGGATATTTCTCATCCTTTTGTTAGATTTAAAACTAACAAAACTTTGAACTTTAAAAAATTAAATAGAAACGGAAAATTTTCTAAGAACGTGAACAATATTGGAATAGATCCTAAACGAATAAAAAACCGATATAAAAACTGACTGGAATAGATCCGTCGCAAATTCTGAAAATAAATAAAATAAATTAAAAAATAATATGAATATTTGCTACGAAAATTTCCATCGTATTTCGTCGCAAATATTAAATTTTCCATCACATATTAAAGTTTATGTCGTAATTAATATTTGTTGTTGCGACGACAATATTTTCGTCGTATTTCGTTGCAAATTTGCGACGGATTTTGTGACTGTCCGTGGTGCCAATGTTTTTACCATATTTCGTTGCGAAACCGTCGTATTCCGTCGCAATTTTGTGTGGGATGAAAAATCTCGTCGCAAGTTTCGTGGTACATGAAGGTTTTTTTTTTTTGTAGTATTGATGGTTTCATGTTCTCCCATTTTGATTTGATTAAACTGCGTTGGTCCGGCGCTGACCAAGACTTGGTCCGGTTGACTGAGTTGGTCCGGAGCTGACCAAGACTTGGTCCGGCTGACCAACTCAGTTTTTCCCATTTTTATTTCTTTTCTTAGTCTGTTTCTTCCTGTTTGATCCGACTGAGTGTCCTGGTCCGGCTGACCAATAGTTGGTCAGCTCTGGACCAGACCTCCTCCCAGTCCGCATTTTCCTTCCTCAGGTCCGTCCGTTCTTTCCCTTGGAATGGATCTGGTCCGGTTGACTGACTCTGGTCAGCCCCGGACCAATCCTCTTTCCCGAATTATTAGCGACATTTATTTAATTATTTATTCTCGAAAATAATTCAATATTTTTCTTCGGGAACCGGGGTATTACAAATCCTCCCCCCTTAAAAAGAATTCGTCCTCGAATTCGGAATCCGTGGGATATGCTCCAATCATCATCACATTCATATCATCACATAGCCATCCAAAATGTAGAGTCTGATACAACAAATTGTCATATATAACTCATACAACACTCAAGCAAAGAGATATGGCTAATTTGCTACGCATCTCCGCCTCGAGTTCCCAGATCATGTCCAAGAACCCTTGGCTCCGCCAAACGAAACCTTCACCAGTGACACTTCCTTCGTTCGTACCTTCTTGGCCTTTTGATCCACGATTTGCAGAGGCTCGTCTAGGAATCGCGTAGTGTCTATGAACTTCAACTCTTGTGGTTGTAGTACTGTGAAGAATCCGTTACGTACCTCCACAACATCGACACATGGAACACGTCATGGATGTTGTCTAGCTCCGATGGTCGTCCAAAATGTTAGGATGTTGGTCCTACCTTCTCAATCATCGGTAAGGTCTGATGTACAACGGTTTCAGCTTCCCGCTTTGTCAAAATCTTACATGCCCCCGCATGGCCTAAACTCGGGGGAGAGCCAGATCTCTAACCTCCAAGGTGACCTCACGTCTCCGCTGATCGGCATAAGACTTCTGTCGATCCTGTGTCATCTTCAGGTTAGTGCGAATCCTTCGGATCACCTCCATGGTCTATTCCACAATATCGGCATACGACTTCTGTCGATTCTACGCCGTTTTCAGGTTATCACACGTCCGTCACATCGCATGACGTTAACCGTCGCATCGCACGACAATCAAGTAGGTATGGCTTCGCACAATAGAGTCAACCATAAACCCTAGTCACATCTCATGACTAGGAGTGCCTCTCACGCCCGTCACATCTCATGATATTGGTCGTCGCTTCGCGCGACAATCAAATCCCATATGGCTTCGCACTATAACTTGTTTCTTTTGAAGTAGCAATGAAGCACCACATTTTCCATGAGTGTTAGCCTCATACAATATGAATTCTATTAATTCACCCAACAACCCGTGTGAATCCCTAAACTTTCATACCCAAGGTTCGTTATGTCGGATTTTACTGAATTTTCTCTCAGATATATATCTTATTAAAAAGGTTCAGTATCTTTTTTATAATAGAAAAGTTCATGTATATTTTGGATCATTTAAAAAATTAACTGTTAGTTAAAAAGTTAGAAAAATCTCAGAAAAACATTGATATTTTAAATTTTAATAAAAAAACACTAAACTTTTGATTTTTTCAAGTAAACATTAAACTTTTTAAATTTATTAAAAATGTTCAGTATCTTTTTTATAATACAAAATTCGGTATTTTTCTGTCAAAATTGTAAATTTCAGTATTTTTTTTTAGATTTTTCCTAAAAAGTTTAATATTTATTGACAAAAAATAAAGTCCACTATTTTTTGTCAAAATTGAAAGTTATTGTTTTTTGGGATTTTTTCTTTATCTTATTTATAAAAAAGAGAAACTTTCACCAACAATTGCACTCGGGATTTTTTTTTACGACTTTTCTCTCTTAAACTCGGTATTTTTCAGTCTTCTTCATACTCCTTTTAGATACACACATCTATATCTATTCAAATTCATCATCACCTTATTGTTTATTTGTCTTTTAACTCTAAAGTTGTTAGTTCTTCATTGTCTTTATCTTTTATTTCAAAGGTTGTTATCTTACTCACAAAATCAATTTTGAGATTTTTTCAAGATTTTCTACACAAACAACCTTAATAGATATATTTTTGTTTTTCAATTGTTTTTGGTTCATTATAAGTCCTATTTACTATGTTTTAATTCTAGACACGTGCATATTCATCTACCTTTGCGCGTTATAGAATTTTCCATTAAAAAAAAAAGAAACACGATGCCGTAAAACAGTAAAAGGATTAAGTTTGCGTTATTTTTGTACTGCCGCTAAAGAAATCCTATATTTTAAATCTGATCAGACGCGTATAGATCGAGTTATACGTGTTAATATATGCGAAGAAAAAAATGAAAATAAAAAAGAAGAAGGAAACACAGAGCCCCAAAAAAAAGGAAACTTAATCTAATGGATGATATTATTCAAACAAAAAACCCCAAAAGGAAAAGGAATGGAATATCTATATAAACCCGTCATGGGTCCTTCAAAGTTTCTCACTTTCAGCAACCCTTTCGATAGTTTTCGGCTTTGATCTCTCGTTCTACGCATCAAAATGGTGATAACAAAGACCGCGATCATCAGTTTCTTCATGCTCGTGACTGTTTCTCTCTTCGTAGGATGCGTGGGAACAACGCACAAGATCGAGGGATGGGCACCGGGTGTCGACTATTACACATGGGTCACGTCAAGACACTTCCAAGTGGGTGACTCTCTCGTCTTCGAGTACAACAAGGATTTCCATTACGTGACAGAAGTTGCGAGTCCTTTAGCTTTCGAGTTCTGCGACCTCTCTTCCACCATAGCAAGATACAAAACCGGTTACGACGTGGTTAACCTCACACGTCCTGGTCGTTACTACTTCGTCTGCGGAGCTCCTGGTCACTGTCAAGCCGGACAGAGATTTGACATCCTAGTCACGTCTCCCCGAGTCGTGGAGAAGTCACCTTCTTCCTTCTCTCCTTCACCCTCCGCTCCTCTGCACAGCGCTGCCTCAAGCTCTCTATTTTCTCGGCTCGGCCTCATCTTTCTTTTCTTGGTTCTGTTACCATTATTTCTTGTTTGATCGTTTTGTAGATTAGCCCACGAGACGTTTTTGGTTCTTTCTCCAAGCTTTTGTCTTCTTTCTGTCATTGGATAGTGGTCTTTTGTAATAAAGTTTGCCACTAGTGATATTGTTTTTATGTTATTATTGTGCACTGATTTTGTGGTGACCCAGTTGGAAAATACAAGTTCATGTACTATTGTTAATAATTAGTAATTAAATAGCAAATTTTCGCCATTTTTAATTTATAATTTCCAAACCCTAAACCCTAAAACTTATAAATGCTAAAAAAAATTTAAAAAATTTTATCACCAATATTATTATAATAGAATCTGATTATATTTGAAAACAATTTAAAGCTCAAATAAAAGTATTATTTGGAAATTTTTAAAAATGTCATGTACTACCAATAAACAAAAATAAAAGGCATTGTATCCTTTCGACGGAGCTCTAAACTTACAACATTATGGAAGGCTACTACACCTTAAGTTTCTATTGTTAATAATTAGTAATTAAATACCAAATTTTAACCATTTTAATTTATAAATTCCAAACCCTAACCGTAAAACTTATAAATGCTAAATTTTTTAAAAAAATTTAACACCAATATTATTATAATAGAATCCGATTATATTCGAAAACAATTAAGATTTCAAATAAAAGTATTATTTGAGAATTTTTTAAAAATGCCATCTATTTATACATGTTCTCTCTTAAATTTCGTTAAACTTAATAACTTGTTTAGTGATGCGGACCGGCCGCTTAGCGGTTGAATAAAATACGAGAGAATTAATCTTCCTTTCTTGTAAGAGTTATATCTCCATTACATTTTGTTTCCATATATCTAGGACCCACTAAAGTGATTTGCTTTCATCTTTGTCTATTTAAAGATTAAACTAACAATGTTAAAAAAATAGAGAATATTTTTGTAGAAATCTTGTGTTGTTCTTCGCTTCTGATTGGGACCACTATCATTGGCAGAGCTTATCTTTTTATTTCTTTGTTTTTTCATTATCGTTGATTCAGACCACTCGGTGGTATCATGATGACAACCAAGAGGTCATTGACAATCTAGAATCTGGATTGTCGACCCTTTATTTTCTGCCATTCATGATCCGGATCACAACACGTGGTATCATAATGGCGACCCACAAGGAACGCATCGAATTTATAAGGAAACCGAACTTTTGACATTGCAGAGTGAATTCGCCCAAGTGCAGACGTCCATGACAGAGCAATTTCGTGCACTAAAAACATCTCTCACTCGCCTCGTTGATTATCTTTCAGTGGCACATATCACTTCTCCATTCGATCGAGGGAAACAGATACACATTAATTTTTCACATCTGAACCTTGTGGATAAGGTTCTTCTCGACGAAATAAGTATTGATGCGGAACGGCCGCTTAGCGGTTATTTGCGTTGAACAAAACATGAGAGAATTAGTCTTCTTTTCTTGTAGGAGTTATATCTCTATTACGTTTTGTTTCCATATATCTAGGACCAACTAAAATAGTTTTCTTTCATCTTTTCTATTTAAAAATTAAACTATCATGTTAAAAAAGTAGGGGTGTAAAACGGGTTGGCTCGGGCTAGCCCAGCCCGGCTCGTCCCGATCCGAGAAAATTTTAACCCAGTCCAGCCCAACCCATTTTTTAACGAGTCAAAATAAACCAGCCCACCCCAAATCGCCTTAGCCCGCGAGCCAAATGAGCCGGCCCGCGGGCTAAATATATAATTTTAAAAATAAATTTTTATTACTAAAAATATTTTAAAATAATTTTAATATTTAAAAAATATTTAAAAAATAATAAAAAATTTAGAATATAATAAAAAAATTTAAAATTTTAAACAAAACAAATTAAATATATAATAAAAATTTAAATTGTATATAAAAATATTTTAAAATATATAAAAATATTAAAAGAAAGAAAGAAAAATTGGCCCGCGATGGGCTGACTCGCCATGAGGTGGCCCATGACGGGCCGGCTCCGGCTCGTGTAGCCCGTTTTCTTTTCTGGCTCAATTATTCTCAGCCCAGCTCGGAGAAATATGATGTGATACCCGTATCCCGATTCCCGTCACAGGATGCACCACATGGACTAATAAACAATAAAATATTACGAAACAAAAATATGGGAATTTAAAACTTTTATTTTATAAACACGCAGCGGAATAGTTTAATACAACCTTTAATTACCACATGTCCAATCTTAAAATAAAACGCAAGAAAAACATCATTTTCAAAAATTAACACAAATCAAATCCGTACGTGATGCTGCCTCTCTCTAGTCTTCGTCGTCGTCTAGATATGCTACATGTACTCCTCGTGATCTGAAAAAGATGAAACTACGTGGGCTAAGCACAACCGCTTAGTGAGTAGCCGGATTGAACCCGGTAAACCCGTTCTCAGCGAGAACTGTGTTAAAACGATAAAACATAAAATATAATATTCAACATTAAACATATACTCATATCACATCAGAACATCATCATATTCATTCACGTATGGCTTCACGCCATAGTGTTAGCCGTGAACCCTGGTCACATCTCATGACCAGGAGCGCCTCACATGCCCGTCACATCGCATGACATTGACCGTCGCATCGCACGACAATCAAATAGGTATAGCTTCGCACCATAGAGTCAGCCGTAAACCTTAGTCACATCTCATGACTAGGACCGTCTCTCATCACCATAGAGTCAGCCGTAAACCTTAGTCACATCTCATGACTAGGACCGCCTCACATGCCCGTCACATCTCATGACGTTGGTCGTCGCTTCGCGCGACAATCAAATCCCGTATGGCTTTGCACCATAGAGTTAGCCATAAACCCTAGTCACATCGCATGACCATGAGCGCCTCTCACACCCGTCACATCGCATGACGTTGGTCGTCGCATCGAATGCGACTATATCACAATCACAATCACGCTCCCCTCGCATCGCACGAGTGAGCTTCTATCATAGCATTCAACATGCATCATCATCACCCGGCTACAATCACGCGTATCACGGTATTCGGCCCCACACCGTCTTACCGTTTAACGCCATGCAATGCTGCCAAAAAATAAGCACACAATGATTCACTCGCAGTGTTTATTTCTCACGTCTCACCATGCGTATTCATTCAGTTTGTTCATTTTTATCTTCTCTTTCCTCTTAGGTTTGGCCTGGTCCAGACCGGTATTTAGTCCGGCGAATCGGATCCGGCCCATCCCCACGAAATCGGTTGATCGGACCAATTTTTGGTCCAAAACAAGCCTGGTCCGCCGGACTAGTTTCTGGTCTGGGTCAGACCAGGCTTCCTCCGCCTCTTCTCCTTGGTCCGGCGGACTAAAAATATTTTCCCGGACTTGGTCCGGAGCTGATTAGTTCCTGGTTCGGCGGACCAGAACTGGGCAGTTCGTCCGTTCACGTTTTCAGGTTTTTTGTCCGACTTCGATTGCTCATAACTCACTTGTTTCTTAACCAAATCACGCACCGTTTGTTTCTAAATGTTCATTGGGATGTCCTTTTTTATATCCAAGCAATAGATTGTTTAAATCTCATGTATACATGATGAAAATGATTCTTAACGCCTGTACCTCGAAAAATCGCGATTCTGCAAATTTCAGTTTTTCCACAGTTTTCGTTTGTTCATATCTCCTTCGTTTCTCAGCCAAATTGAAATGTCCTCTTTCAAAATCAATCAACGAATCATCGAGACAACACAATCACATCGATGAAAACGAGTTTACACAGACGCAACTCAAGCCACTCACCAGTTCTTGGATCAGATTCATTTTGAATCTGATTTGGTCGAGCTTGGTTGATGTTTCTGTGTTCATCCGCCTTGAGATCTCCTCCTAGACACTCAAGGGTTGTTCCTCAATGTCTTCCCGAGCTCCCTCTTCCTCCTCCTCTCTTCTTTCTCTCCCTCTCTCTCTTTTTCCTCTCTTTTCTTTCTCTGCCCATTTTCAGTCCGAAAATGGTTAATTTGATCTGTTTGAGAGGGTCTTTAGGGTAGATGAAGAGTTTTGGGGTGATTGGACGAGTGTAGGAGATAGCTGGGGTCTCCTTTTGTCGGTTTGGTGCGGATTAGGTGTGTTGTGGTCGCCCATGTGTGAGAAAATTGCGCACCATAAGTCTGCCGACAGTTTATCTGTCACTTGGTCCGGGGCTGACCAGATTTTGGTCCGGCTGGCCAAGTCCGGAATACACTCATTTTCCTCTTGGTCTGTCCGTCCTGTCCAAGTCCGGCTGACTGAGTTGGTCCGGAGCTGACCAAGACTTGGTCCGGCTGACCAACTCAGTTTTTCCCATTTTTATTTCTTTTCTTAGTCTGTTTCTTGCTGTTTGATCCGACTGAGTGTCCTGGTCCGGCTGACCAATAGTTGGTCAGCTCTGGACCAGACCTCCTCCCAGTCTGCATTTTCCTTCCTCAGGTCCGTCCGTTCTTTCCCTTGGAACGGATCTGGTCCGGTTGACTGACTCTGGTCAGCCCCGGACCAATCCTCTTTCCCGAATTATTAGAGACATTTATTTAATTATTTATTCTCGAAAATAATTCAATATTTTTCTTCGAGAACCGGGGTATTACAAATCCTCCCCCCTTAAAAAGAATTCGTCCTCGAATTCGGAATCCGTGGGATATGCTCCAATCATCATCACATTCATATCATCACATAGCCATCCAAAATGTAGAGTCTGATACAACAAATTGTCATATATAACTCATACAACACTCAAGCAAAGAGATATGGCTAATTTGCTACGCATCTCCGCCTCGAGTTCCCAGATCATGTCCAAGAACCCTTGGCTCCGCCAAACGAAACCTTCACCAGCGGCACTTCCTTCGTTCGTACCTTCTTGACCTTTTGATCCACGATTTGCAGAGGCTCATCCAGGAATCGCGTAGTGTCTATGAACTTCAACTCTTGTGGTTGTAGTACTGTGAAGGATCCGTTACGTACCTCCACAACATCGACACATGGAACACGTCATGGATGTTGTCTAGCTCCGATGGTCGTCCAAAATGTTA